GGGGGACATCAACGCACCCACACAACCTTCATCCTAAAATTTGTCTTGCCTACAGGATGTACGGGGATAAAGATGAGCCAGAGACTGAGGGAACAGCCAACCAATGACCGGCCCAACTTGAGACCCATCCCAAGGGAGAGAGTCAACCTCTGACATTATTAATGACACTCTGTTGTGCTTGCAGACAGGAAGCTAGCATGAGGCTCCTAAGTGACTTCGTCCAGCAGCAGATAGAAACAGATGCAGAGACCCATAGCTAAACATAGGGGGAGCTCAGGGAGTCTTGTGGAAGAGTGAGGGTCAGGATTAAGCAAGCTGGAGGGGTCAAGGAAACCTACAGGGTCAACTAACCTGGCTAACTGGGTATCACAGAGACTGAACTACCAACCAAAGTGCACACAGGGGATGGACCTCCCCCCCCCACACACACACTCATTTGTAGCAGAAGTAGAGTTTGGTCTCCATATGGATCCCCTAACAATTGGAGCAAGGACTGTCTCTGACTCTGTTGCCTGCTATTTGATCTGCTTTCCCTACTTGGATTGCCTAGTTGGGCCCCACTGGGAGAGAAGGTGCTTAGTCCTGCTGGGACTAGATGTCCCAGGGTGGGATGGTACCCAAGGGGGGCTTCCTCTTCTCTGAGGAGAAATGGAGGGTGCAATTGGGGGAAGATTTGTAAAGGGGAGACTGGGAGGAGAGGAGGGAGTGGGGCTGTGATGTAATGAGAATTAAAAAAATAAATTATGAAAAAAATTATATTAACCCAGAAATGTATTTACTCCTTTTCTCCAGTTTAGTGTTTCCAAACTTGATAGGATTTTTAGTGTAAAACCTACAGATTTTTTGAATTTCATTGATACCTATCACGATGCCTCCCCATTCGTCTCTAATTCCATGAATTTTTCCCTTCTTTATCTTTTCTGGTTATTTTAGCTATGGGCTAATCCATAATGTTAATATTTTAAATAACTTTTCCTTTCATTTGTTCTTTTAAAATTTTTATTTTATTAATTCCTGCCATGATCTTAATTATTTCTCTCCATCTGTCACTTTTGGGTTTGCTTGGTGGTCGCTTTGGCCAGGCCTTAACCTGTATCAGTAAATTATGTGAGATGTCCATGATCTTTTCATGTGTGTACTCAGAGCAATAAACTTCCCACATACACTACCTTCATTATGCCTTATATGTTTTCAGTACGCTGTATTTTAACTTTCATTCACTTCTGAGAATTTTTATTTCTAGCTTAATTTTTATTACTGACACGTTCATGATTGAATAACATAGTTTAGGCACCACGACTTTGAGTATTTTCTGTAGTTTCTCTCACGGCTGCTTGCTACCTTTATTCCATTGTGCTCAGATAAACTCCAGCGATTATTTCTGTTTTTCCATATCTCTTGAGGCTTGCTTTTTATTTCAATAGTCATCTATTTTAGAGAAAGCTCCATGGGGTGCTGAGACTAATGTGCGTTCTGTCGAATGTGTCTGGTTAGATTATTCTGTAAATGTTCATCTGATTTATGATGCCTTTCAATTCCAACATTTTGTTTGTTGTTTGTTTACTTATTTTCTATTTATTTTCTGAATGATCTGTCAAATGGTAAAAATGGGGTATTGAAGCCACCAAGTTTTGCTCTGTTGCACTTCCATCTGTGACTTTATATCTGGTAGTATATATTTTATTAAACTAGGCCTAGTAGATCAAGCGTGGCTTACAGAAGTCAAAATATTTTTGTTCCCTTTGAGTGGCTCTACTCAGGATGGAAGTACCATATAGAGAACGGTCACTGTAAGAGGCCCTGATGACTTCCAGCCTAAGGAGATGGTGCCCTGTAAATGGAAGTCACTGAATTGTTCAGGAAGGAAATAACTTACATTTTAGGTCCAGCAAAGCACCTTGAACATCTACAGGTCCAAGATTCTATAATGATCAATTCAACTCCATAATGTAGATTTTATGGCTGATGTAGAATTGAGGGAGAATTGCTGGATTAGAGGCAAGTCAAGTAAGGGTACTTCAAAACCAACTTAAGTTTAAGACCTACGGTAATCTTGGATCTAGCCAGGGGAAGCTTTGGTTTGTCTCCATAACTTATACTGATCCTGAGAGCCATAGGTGATTCATGTACTCATGAAATTGCAAAATGCAGGTCCTGATCAATCATAGGATAGCTAAGAGGAGAAAGGCCTTTGAAATGGGCTGCTTCTCCTATTGCCTATCTCCCATGGTCACTACAGTCACTGAAGCAACATGTGGGAGAACAAGATGGACAAGAATTGCATAAGAATGGCCTGGCTTTGGGTCCTTCCCACCAGGTAAAATGCAGTTCCAGGTCAAGCACAGTCAGTGTTGAGACACTAATTAATTTGCCTTACCTACAAGAAATGCAGGGACAGAGATGGAGTAGAGACTGAGGTAATGGACATCCAATAACTGGTCCAACTTGAAACCCATCCCATGGGCAAGCACTGAGACTATTAATGAGCCTAGCATAACTGTTCTCTGAGAGGTTCCACTCAGCAACTGACTGAAACAGATGCAGAGACTCGGAGCCAAACACTGGACACAGCTCAGGGAAGGACTGAGGGTTCCAGAGGGGATAGGAATTCCACAGGAAGACCAACAGAGTCAATTAACCTGGACCCTTCGGCCCTCAGAGACAGAACCACCAACCAAAGAGCATAAACAGGCTGGCCCTAGGATCCCCACACGTATGTAGCAGGGGATCAGGATGCATCGATCAGGATGTAAAGTGAATAAGTATATTAATGGAAAAATTGTTTATTTTTTGGAGCAGGAACTCGAGCTTGCTGGAGCTTTGATGTTGTCTCCCTCTTTCCCAATCAGTAGTATCTCCTCTTGTTCTTCTGGAATCTAAGCTGTGGAGCTTGCTGTATCAAGCAGGAGTCATAACCATACTTACAGGGTGTTTGTGAGAATCCAGCATAGTCCCATGGGATTGCTTTACATACACATGTAAAGCTTAGCTATTTTAGACATGATTTTGATACCACTGTGTTTATTTTTCCTTATTAAGCGGAAGCCAGTGTAGTCTACAAAAACCTATGCGTATCAAGATGTTATTTTGGTGACTCAGAGTCTGTGCAGACTTATCTTATTTCAGGTAAGCCTACTGTAGGCAAGGTCCTAGAAGCTAGGTAATGGGCCAGAGGGAAAAGACTAAGAGAAAGCCAAGATACTATGACAAGAGGCGCAAAGATTGATTCTTCAATATGTCATAGACCTTGAAACGATTTGCCAAGTGAACAACAGAGTTGTCTCTTTTATTAGCACATTCAAACAGCAGCAGAAAAACAACCTTCGTTTGATTCTTACTGAGATTTATTGTTTTTAATAATACCACTTTTCAGAAGTATAGTCATGTGCTCACTTAAGACAGGCTGACAAAGTGAATACTCATATGTAATGCAAAGTACCTTTCAGGTTGTCTGTTAAGACATAGATAGTGCAGTGACAGGTCAGTCAAATGCCCACAGCAGACAGCAAACCCAAGCCTCCCTTTCCCAATACCTGATTCTCCGTTTGCACCAAAGACCCCACAATGGAAAGCTGGCAAGACATAGAACACAGATGGCTACCAACTGACATGAAAAGTAAATTTTATTAAACATGTTTACATACATGAGTGGGAAGTTCATTTAAAAGCACAGGGGGTTGTTAAGACAAGTGGTCAAAATAGAAAGATACTACCCAATTATAGTTGGTTGATTGTTGGCCACTAAGACAGAACGGAATCTAGTAGAAGTGCACCAATTGCTTCTGTTCTTCCTGCACAGCATGGTGGGTGGTGGTCAATCTGTGCCCTGTGGAATAATGGGCAGGAAATTCTGACATGTGTAAATAATAATAAATGACTCACTTGGTGCAGGCAGTATGTCTATGGATTAAAACCTAGTGTTTACACAGTGTCTACATGTGTTACAGCCCCACAGGAGGAATCTACACCAAAATATTTATTAGAAGGAATTTTGGTCCGTACTATATCACGTTGTCCAGAGGGTAAAAAATAAAGTCCATCTATAGACATTTCACCCCAGACTCACATACTGAGTCTGGCTAAAACCTGCAAAATGTCTATAACCAAAACGGATGGCTTAGATTTCTTGGTTATTTCAGTATTGTAATTAACAAGCAAACTGTACAAGTACATGCAACATACAAGCCAGCCTATGTGGAGCTAACATACAATATTAAATAACCTCTTGTCTCTTTGCTTTTTTTTTTCTTTCTTTTTCATATTTTATTTTATACAAAATGTGCATGCAGCTTTGAACAGCTCCAAGTCATGCTGCTCTAACTGTGAAATCACAAAAGTTGAACGACTCATAAAAGGGAGGGGGGCATATTGATGCAGCTGGAGGACCGGTTGCCTGCAGCACATACACAGAAGGTCACAAGGGAAATCCAAGGCCAAGAAAACCCGAATGAAGAATATGCAAATTGGTATTTGGCTGTATTCTTTTTCTTCCCCCAAAGTAAGATATTGTGCATTTTAAAAAATCAAGCTTTGTGCTTGCAGTGACCTTAAAGAAATGTAAACTGAAATCCAATAAAAACATTAATTTAGTGCAGAGTATGTGAACTGGAATTTCCAGTGCAATATTAAACAGCTCATACTATGCTCTCTCCAGGGCAGATGAGTCTACTCTGGGGCACGGCTGAGAAGCCTGGGCATAGCTGAAAGTGTCTTAGGCTCAAATCCACTCTTAGTCACCATTTTGGGGAGTTGAGAACATAATTTCTACACATGAGCATCTTTTTTTCTTTTCTTTTGTTATCAGGAAGTAAAAGGCATCAAAAAAGGGTTTCCAAAGCACTATTTTGTGGTTAGCCTTCATCCCCAGCCTTAGTTGTAGATTGACTTCAAAGTCTTCCATGCCAAACAATGGAAAACAGAAACAAATTATCTGGAATGCAAACAGATAAGGCTCTTCACTGAAACGTGATTCTGTGACTACTGTTTTGGGTGGTGATTCTTATTGTGGGGGGAGTAGGTGGGAAATTCCACATACAAGACTTGGAAGAACTGTAAACTGGCTGACTGTGATAACTTTCCCTGGCTTCGCCTCGCCCAGATTTTGAAAACTTTTGGGAAAATGCTACAGAGACTGCTTCAGCCCTTTTTGGTATGTTTGGAAAAAGAAAGGAAGGGTCTCTGTGAACGCCACTAATCCTGTTATGACAAAGCAAAGAAAGACAAAGACAAAAAAAAAAAGAAACTAGTGGAAAGAACAAATACAGTGAAGACAGAGAAAGACAGACAATGGGGAAAAAACCCAGCAAACAACAAACAGCAAACAACAAAAGCGCACAGAAGAACTAAAGAGTCTCAAACACCAGGGAAACAACACTGCATGTGGTCTGTGCAGAATCGTGTGAAGTACACCTTTTCACAGAGTGAGAGTTTCCAGTTTGTTCAATTTGGTGTGTGTGTGGACTTGAGGTTTCCTTTTTTTTTTTCTTTTTTCTATTTGTAAGAAGTGTCAGTGGCTCTCACTAGCATGTCGATTCTTACTGCCATTTGATTGACTGCCTTGTTCTGTCATACGAAGCCATGTTTTAAACAACAATTGGGACACATTATCGAAAAACTACTACAGGCAAAACACAAGTTGATTGTCTGTCTCCAACAATGCTCTTGATCATGAAATATCTGGTTCTGATAATTATCCTGAAACGTAGAGTTTGGCTGGAAGGATAGGAGTTTACTATGACCGGATGCAGGGAGGCCCAGACGAACTTTCCAGAGATGATTGGGAAGCCCGGCGGGTCAGGGGAGTGAGTGTGGGATCCACCAGTGAGGACGGAGGGAACAATTTATACCATCCAATCACCATGCTGGACAGATCAAGTTCTTCCAACAAGATTTGAGCCACACCCATAAAGCATTTATGGTCCATTCTTCCATAGTCACCCCAGACAATCACCTGCAGACAGAGAAACACAATGTGAATTTGAACTTCCTTTGTCCACATGTGAGGAGGACATTCTGTCAAAGTGTGGAGTAGGTAAGGTGAAGAAGCAAGAATATCTAAGAAAGCATGCAAACGAATGTCTATATGTGTGTTTATTCATATATATATGTATGGATATATATGCTGATACAAGTGTGTGACTTTGAGCACATTTTCAATGGCTTCTGTGAACAGAGTAAGAGCAGGCTGCATACTTCTTTTACATTATAGACTTGTTGGTGAAGGGCAGATGGAAGACAAATGAAGGTGGTATCTCTCAATGATTTCCTCCACAGTTTTATTTAACCAGGTTAATAGTGAGCAAATGAACTGATGGGCACTTACTAACTACACTGGCGCCAGGCAAGCACTCCAGGACACACATTCTTGGGGTCTGTGTTCTAATCCTGGGGTCATTTATAAAAGCTTGGTACTGAATCATCCCTCTGCTTTGCACATCTAAGAATACAAACCCTCACTTCTCAATGAAAACCAACTTTATTTCTGTGATCTTGAACTATACTTTTTACTATAGAGTTAATGATATTTGGGGCACAAGGTCATTAGAAACGTTGAAAGAGGTTATGTATGGAAGTACCTAAAATAGCTGAGTTATGTGCTTTCTTCTACATTCTTCCATTTTATAGCTCATGTCTGATACTGAGTAATAATCAATCATTCTTATCATTTTGCCATGGTATCTATCTCTATATGTATCTATCATCTATCTATATGTCTGTCTATCTATCTATCTATCTATCTATCTATCATCTATCTATAGCTATCCCTTATCTATCTACCCATCTCTCTATTAATCAACTATTTATCTACTTATCTATCCATCTGTCAATCAATCATCTGTCTGTCCATCTATCAATTGTCTATTATTATCTATGTATCCATCTATCTATAATCATCTGTGTATCTATCATCTATAGATATCTATCTATCATCTATCATCTACCTATACCTATTTCTGTATATATTCAATCATATGTCTGTCCATCAATTTTCTATTATCTATCTATCTATCTGTCTTCTATCATCCATATTTGCCACCAGTATTACCTATTATATAATTATATTATCTATATTATCTATATTCTTTACAGCTATGTATCAAGAAGAGAAAAGCGGTTAAGGTTTGGAGAGGATAGAAACAAGAAGTAAAAGAGAAAGATGTTGAATTTTGTTCCTTTCCACTATATACAGCAGATATTGTTAATGCCATACATACTGTACTATAAATTGACCAGTTTCTAACTTTCTACTCATGGCCAATAATAAGCTAGGCTTTACTGAAAAGATTTTCCTAATGCTATCCACATCTTCAGTGAGCTGACAGATATCACCGCCTCATTAGCCAAGCAAAGATTACTGACCTGAAGAACTTTACCCTGTGGACTTTCATCAAAAACCAGGGACTGCTGATACAAAGGATCGAGAGTTTTCCGTGCAATTCTTGTCTTCTTTTTGGCAATACAGGCTCCATTTTCCAAAAGATATACTTTCACATAGGGAGCTAAACCAAGGTGAGTAGACATATAAGAACATGTTACCTGAATTCTATCTTTATTATTCCAAACCTTACAGAGGATTGGAAATTCTTATTAGATGTATCCTAAACTGCTATGTACATTTCAATCGCTATGATCATCCAACTCCTTACAATCCATCACCACTACTGTGCCTTTCCTCCTGTCAAATAAATGTCCCGTCAATGTCTTGACTCATTTACTTGAGTCAGGGCTGGCATGAAAGTGCAGGTCTACATCTTATACCTCAGTGCTTTTTCTTTTGTAGCTTTAGGTATGCAGAAAAAATATTTAGTATAAGAAATGGCTATAATTATTTTAAAGAATAACAGCGTTTCCCTAGTACTTCTTAACAGAATAATTATACAAAGGAAACCCAGATCCATTTTTATAAAATCAAAGATCGTAGAAAATTGTGTCTTAAGCAATCAAATGACGCAGAATCAAGAATAAGACTCGAATGCATTGTTTTTGCACACTTTTGGCTAAGATCAAACATAAACCCACATGTAACAAAATTATCAAGATTTTCCACTTTTAAGTCTTGCCCAGGGGCTGGAGATATGGCTCAATAGTTAAGAACACACACTACTCTAGCCTCGGACACAGGATCAGTTCCTAGCATCCATATGACAGTTTATAACCATCTGTAATTCCAGCTCCAGGTGGTCCAATATTCTCTTCTGCCCGCTATGAGTGCTGCATGCATGCATATATGTATCACTCACTAAACACATAATGGTTAAAATAAATACACCTTAAAAGAGCCCTGACCAAAACGTTACAACTTTTCCTTACCGGGTGTCGATTTGGAGCCAGGTTTTTGTGTAAGGCTCCGGGCTCTGATAACCTCAACCTCCAACTGACCCTTCTTATCCTCCATCCCGATTTGGATATCGCCTGCAAGTGAAGACAAAACCAAATGTCAGCTTCTACTCAAGTCTGGAGGTCAGAAAAGAAGATGGCTGAAGATTGACCGATGTGGAACTGTTATCTCCGTGATGGGAGATGACTGCTGACAAGAATACGCCTCTCAAATCCACTTTTCTTTCTCAGGCTAAAGTCAATTTGTTAAAGTATTTTACATTTTTTAATCTGGTACTAATCCATGTTTAACTTTTATGATGTTTATTTGCTTCTTGATGAATGTTTTGAGTGCGTGTGTGTGCTGCATGAGTGCGTGCTGTATACCTGCTGCGCTTACGTGCTTACGTACGTGCGTGCGTGCGTGCATGCATGCATGCATGCAACTATCAGAGGACAACTTGCCAGGGTTTGTTTTTCTCTTCTCACCATGTGTATCTTGGGTTGAACCCAGGTTTTCAGTTTGAAAGCAAGTACCTTTTATCAATGGTTCCCATGTCCGTCTTTAGAGATGTGCATGTTAGTTGAAGAATTGCTAACCACAGTATTAAGGTGTTTACAGGATGTATGTACTCTGATGCCGTCTTCCTGCCCTTCTGCTACCTACCATATTAACTCAGCAATGATAAGCTGTAATTGTCTCAATTTTGATATTAAGAGAGAAAGCCACTGGTAATACTTTGGTCACTACTATAACAACTTCATAAACACTGTCCACATGTCAATGTATTTTTGTTGCACTGACACCACAGACCATGAAATGGACAGCACTTTTACCTATTTAAGAAGTCTTCTGTTGATGAAAATATGGGCTATTTGCATTACTGCCATTTGAGGTATAATGAACAGTTTTATCAGAATTGCCATCTGGGTGGGGGTGGCACGTCCATTTAATCCCAGAGCTTGAGAAGCAGAGGCAAGTGACTCTGAGTTCAAGTACAGCCTGGTCTACAGAGTGAGTTCCAGGACAACCAGGGCTACACAGAGAAAACTTATCTTGAAACAAAACCCCAAAACAATAATAAAAAAGAATTATCAAATACCTTTTTGGTTATGCCCTGAATAATAAACTTCCAGATTGTAAGTATATAGATCTAACTATACAGTCAGTCAAAATGCTCACACATGTCACCAAGTGTCCATTATTAAGCTGTGCCCATTCAAAAGTTCCACATGTATTGTCAAATGTTCAATATAAAGACTGTGCCTATGTGTCCTATCAGCAGATGTCTTTCCATTTCTCACACTAACAGATATTAGTTTAGAAATAGGTAGTTTTGTCACAGTGGTGGTAAAAGGTGCATTTCATTTATTCCTAGGGAAGTTGGGTTTTTGAGGTTCAAGCACATCCTGATATAAAACCCCACATTATCATCTAGATTGAGTTAGAGAGAGACCTGGTCTTTTTATGTCTTAGAAGTTCTGGCTTCAGAATGTTCATGTCTCTTGTATTCATGGTTTTTAAATTCATTTGTGAAACTATTTGGAACTATTTCTCCAAGGTTTTAGTGGGGGTCATGTTAAGCAATAACGGCTACGATTCCACTTGGGAATGCCCTGACTTCCATTTCTCCACATATACTTTGTTAGGTGATATTTTTTTGATGACTTCATAACTGTTTATCTTAAATAAAATTCCATATGTTAAATGTTTGTATAAATGGTACCATTAAGCAATTTCTTCCATATTCTAGTAACAAATTTTCGTGTGTGTGTGTGTGTGTGTGTGTGTGTGTATACATGTTCACAGAGGCCAGAAGAAGGAAGACAGGAAATCCCATTAAGATAGAGATGCTGTGTGAGTGTGAGCAACCAGATTGGATTCTGGATGGAGCTGGATTCTCTTCAAGGGTAGTGCTTGTTCTTAGTCACTAAGCCATCTCCCCAGACCCCTATCTAAATTTTTATTTTGTGAATGTCATATTTAATTTACTTACCCTTGATTGAGGTTACTGCCTTATTCTATTTCGAACTGTTACAAAGCATGCAGCAGAGAAGTTCCCAAGAATAGATAGCTGAAGTTGTATTGTTGAGTTACAGTATATAAACATTTTCATTTTTGCTAGAGGCCACCATATTATGCCAGTCAATGATGTACTTCTCCGAGCACTATATGACATTGGAATGTAGGGACCAACACAAAGTGTATATTGTATAGCTATAGGTCACCCCTAAATAGTTGTCTTTTTAAAAAACTGAATTAATGTAAGATTTCACCAAATATGTTCTTACATGGTGATATAAATATATTTCTTCTTGATTGATGTAGTTAATTACATTCCTTTTCGGTCATTACATCAGCCATGCACTTGTAGGAAAATGTTAGTTGTGTTATCATTACTTTTAATATTACTGGGTTTGTGTTGCTTGGATTCATGGGGACTTTTGAAAGTATGGGTTCAGGAGGAAAACTGAAGTTGGGATGTGCTGTGTGATGGAAGAATGTACTTAAAAAAAAAACAGTTTCAGTTTGAGAAATTCACTGAATTTTAAAATATGGCTTCTACTATACACACTCTTCCTGAGCTCTGGATCAATGCTTATACATATATACAAACCTACATATGTCATACATGCATGCATGCATGCATAATACATACATACATAACCGATGGTATATGTATGTTATTTTCCTTTCCTTATCTTCCTATTCATTCTTTTTATTCTCCTCTGGATGAGGTCTTATGGCTTATGGTTTAGTTAATAAATTCCCTCATCCCTAACCTTCCTTGAATAATGCAATCTTTCAATTATTTTAATTATATTAATCAGTTCTAGAAAACTCAGTTTTTTTCATAACTCTTCATTATCTCTTATACTTCTCAGCCTTATTCTTTTGGCTCTTTGAGCTTTATAATCATTTGAAGATTTTTAGTTTGCATATTTGCATCTTCAGGTGTGCATGCCCTATTTAGGAGTGTCTGTGAGGTCATATGAAGCTATTGGAACCCCTGGAGTACATAGTTACAGCCATTTGATATGGGTGTTATGAAATAGGGTCCTTTGGGAGATCAGCGAGTGTTAACCCTGCCATCTCCCTATCTTCCTTCAGTCTAACTATTTAACTTTAATATATGGGCTCAGTTTGAGTTGGTTTCTATTTTCTACTGCTTTTGTGTTTAAAATAAACGTCTCCCCACCCTTTTTTTTTTTTGGACTGGTTATCTGTGATTGTATTTACAATATTGTTTTTAGGGAAAAACAAGATGTTATTGGGCTTGTCATTTGCTTCAGAAATACTTTACTTTTATTTCTATAAACTGCTGTATCCCTATAAACTGCATGCAATCTCTGATCGCTTTGAAGAGTAAATTAGGTGATTCTAATTTCTTACTCCTAGAGATCCCCCATATACATCCAGCTTAGCTATGTTTTCAAAGTAGATATAGACCATTTAATCTGAACTGTGAACAAGGGTTGGTAACCAGGTTGACTCATATTAACCTCCAATTCATGTCCGAAAAAATAATTATTGTTCTAGGAACCTGGCTTTCAGGTATACAGCTAGCTATGGATTTGGTGTGAGTCCTGCTTCATCTGTGATGAAGCCATATAGCCATAATTCTTTCAAGCATTTATTTTTTATTTTGTTCTTTAAGCTTGTATCTTGTGAATCATAACATATAGCTGGGTTGTGTGATCCTTCAGTGTCATTCATACTTTATGTGTGAGAACAGTAATACCTTTTCTCATTTGTAGTACTACTATGTAATTTTTTTTTCTTTTTTTTTTTTATTGGATGATTTATTTACATTTCCTATGTTGTCCCCTTACCCCATCCCCCACCACCCCCTCAGAACCCCCAATCCCCTCGCCCCTCCTCCTTCTTCTCTGTGGATGTAACCTCTATCTACACCCCCCCACTCCCACCTCCCCACCCTCAAAATTCCCACCCCCTGGGGCATCCAGCCTTCATGAGGTCAAGGTTCTCTTCTTCCACCTATGCCCAGCAGGGCCCTCCACTTTTACATATTCAGCTGAAGCCCTGGATTCCCCCCCTAAGTGCTCCCAGGCTGGTGGTTTAGACCCTGGGAGCTGTGGTTGGTTGGTATTGTTGCTCTCCTCATGGTGCCACAAACCCTTTCAGCTCCTTCAGTCTTCACTCTAACTCCTCCATTGAGAACCCCATGATCAGTTCAATGGCTAGTTGTGAGCATCTGCCTCTGAATATGTCTGACTCTTGAAGGCCTCTGAGGAGATATCCATATCAGGCTCTTATCAGCATGCACTTCCTGTCTTCCACATCAGCATCTACCTTTGGTGATTGCACATGGGATAGATACTCAGGTGGGGTGGTCTTGAGACGGCCCCTCCTTCAGTTTCTGTCCCTCACTTTGTCTCCATATTTGCTCCCTTGAGTATTTTGTTGCTCCTTCTAAGAAGGACCGAATCACCCTCACTTGGTCTTCCTTCTTTATGGGCTTCATGTGGCCTGTGAGTTGCATCTTGGGCATTTCAAGGTTCTAGGCTAATATCCAATAATCAGTGAGTGAATACCATGTGTCTTCTTTTGTGATTGGCTTACCTCACTCAGGATGATAATTTCTAGTTCCATCCATTTACCTAGGAACCTCTCGAATTCATTGTTTTTAATAGCTGAGTAATACTCCATTGTGTAAATATACCACATTTTTTGAATCCATTCCTCAGTTGAAGGACATCTGGGTTCTTTCCAGCTCCTGGCTATTATAAATAAGGCTGCTATGAACATAGTTGAGCATATGTCCTTGTTATATGTTCGAGCATCTTCTGGGTATATGCCTAGGAGTGGTATAGCTGGATCCAATTTTAAATGACCTTGTCAACCATAAAACTGCAGAAGAATAATCCTTACCCATGGCTGGTGTGGCAAGGGTTTGACGGCCAACAAGCTGGGCTGGCCCCAATCCATCAAGGAAATCACTGAATTGACTGTCAGGTCCTACTCGAACTCCAGGAAATATTAAGCTACAGCAAACACATAAGAACAAAACCAAATTAGACTTCTTGCTAGTTTCTTTTTAAGTAGTTCTGATCAGCAGACACATACCCCTGTTGGTAGCTGGTTTACTGTTTATTCATGTTACCTACGAGGCAAGCATATAAAGCTCAACATTTCAGTTGATTGAGAGGAAGGAGTTTTATTATCAGAATCCATCTAGGACAGACAGAAAAGTAACATGATTTTCTGAAGATGGCCTATCATATTGCATGGTCTGCTATGGGAGAACTTATTTGCAAGGTTTTCAGAAATTTTTATCACATAATTGATTCTTGTTATTGTCTTTCCCGCTATTATTGAATAGTGTAATGATCTCTAGGCATTAGCCCACTCTATTGAGCAGAGTTTCTGCAGATCAGTGAAGCTGTATTATCTTGTAGCAAAGCTATGTAGACAAATAAATGATTTCTTAATTCCTAATAATCATTCTATAGAATTCCCAAATTTATACTAGTAGTTTTGGGCCCTCTATAGAAAGGGCTGGAAAGAGGGCTCTGTGTCATGGGCTAATTGCATTAGGATAGAAAGCAGGTTTGGATCAAATTTATGATCAGGCAAAATATTCCTTCTAGGCTGGTTGTAAAAACCATTATCTGATAACTAAATGTCATAAACTGGGATTGGACTATTTATTGTAAACACAAGGATAAAAGATAAAATATTGACTGGATTTATCTATATAAAACTTGAGTGCTAATGAGACTCAAGGCAGAAGATTTGCCTCTTGACAAAACCATGCTAATTTATGACGTCCGAATTATTGTTTTAAACTCTTAATGAACCTTTGGAGCCAGTGGTAGAAAATGAATGTTTAATTAGACAACTAGTCTTAATGGAAACACATGTAAACGTCTCTGTTGCTGCGTTTTATTCGATTTATGATTTGAATTTATGCTTGAAACTTGTGAACTCCTGAGGGGGGAAAGTCTCTTGGACTACCTCACGATCATGTGTCCCGGGAAGATATAAGAATTAAGCATCACAATAGGAAGTACTTTCCCTTCTCTCTCTCTCTCTCTCTCTCTCTCTCTCTCTCTCTCTCTCTCTCTCTCTCTCTCTCAGAAATAAAGATTCAATTCCCTTTTCAAAATAAGTGCTTCTTTCTGCAAGCATGATTTCCTCTAGCTGACAGGAAGTTAATGAACTCCCAGCCTTGTACTCCAATGACTGACCAGCAGGTGGGAAATCACTTAATCCCCTGCTGTTAACCCTCAGGTGTTAAACTCCAAAGCCAGCAGGCTTTTAACCACAGAATAAGCAAGAAAATATTCAGTATTTCACAAGCTATCAGCTTCTAGCATCCAGTACAGTTAGAAAGTTTCCTACAAAGCCTGAGACGGTTAGCGGTTTGTCCTTGGTCCAATACATTGTCTTGGTCCTGACAAGAGCAGGCTTCTGGCAGTTTATAATGTCACTTTAAGGCCTGAGGCTCCCTTCATAAAGACTGTTACAGTTTATAATATGTCAACTTTTTCTAGATACTTGTAATTTAATCTTATTAACTACACATGTTTACTCATGAACATTTTAAACAACTGCTAGTATATTTAATAATAGGATAGTACAACCTCTTAGAGAGAATACGTTTAATGTCTTCCATTTTGAAAATTTGTATTTATTATTACTACTGTGTGCATGATATAAGGTGTGTGTGTGTGTGTGCATACAAAGTGATGCACCTGCCATGGCTTTGTATAGAGGTCAGAAGTCAACCTTTAGAAACCAGTTGTCTCCCTTCATTTTTAAGTGGGTTCTGGGCATCAAAATATGGTCATTAGGCACAACCTTTACCTAGGAAGCTATTTTGCAAACCCTAATTTATTCAGATTCAAGGTGGTAAAAATGCTAGTGGCTGGGTAATTATGAAAAACTTTTGTTTCATCTCTTGTAACCTACTAAGAAAATATAGTGGTTACTTAGAAGAAGCATTTCTTCCTAGAGAGTCCAGTTTTAACCCCCAAAATCTTAAACTTAGAAAAAAATGCAGATTTTGTTAAGTAACCACACAAATTAGTAAAAGTACTCATAAAGAAACAGAAAAAGTCTCTATACTTTCAGAATTAATCAATTTTAGAACGAAAAAACTTTAATTAGAAAAATGAGGTAGAGTCTTCCCACCCTCGCCATGATAAGATAGAAATGAATTAGTGACATTTTAAAAAAACAGGAAAATGTAAGTTTCCTATGTGTAAAAATGAGTCAGGCTTACAACAGCATACAGCTCAGAATAGTTTAGAGAGAAATTGGGAACTCAGAAATCAGTTTCTTGCTTCTAAATTTTCATTCAGGTGCTTCTGGTGGCAGAGCCAGGCCGTATGCTTCCTATATGAAAGAATTCATTAAATGTGGCATTTCTATCCTATCTGTTCAGTGAAGGACCTCGTTTTATTCCTTTGACAGATTTGAACAGGTGCAGGGATATGTCTGCAGGTGTTTCCAGGATGTCAGGTTGGTTTGAAACAGGTGGGGAAACTCCTGGGCACATTAATTGATGACTCAGAAGAAGTCCTCAAGAACCCATACTTCAAGGCCACATTCAGCAAGACGTCACATCACTTACTTTCCTTCCGAGCTGTAACTGTTGATGCTGCCATCCGTGGACTCCCGGCTTGGCTGTCTCACCATCTTCCGCATTTCAGCCGCCATTCCTGTTTCCGTACTCCGCTGGATGGTGCTTTTTAACTTCTTGTGGCCCGACTCTGTTGGGAGAGAATGGAAACAAGAACCAGGTTTTATTTTAGCCAGTTATTATTTTTTTCTCACCTGAATAGCCATTGGCTCTGCAAAAGCTATAGTTACTTTTCGTTAGCATTAAATGTTTTAATAAGAACAGCTGTGGTTGAAGAGAATATGATTAACTGTCTTCCCAAAGAGTACTTTCATTAAGAGGTTAGCGGTAGGTATGGCAGGCCATGGCTCCAGGAATGGCCCGGGTCTCTGAGAACAGGAGTGAACTATTGTGGTACCGCTGTGAAAACTTTATCGAAAAGAATGGATCTGGCACTGGATTGTTAGATGGAAAATAATACTGAGCAACTTAACCGGTTTCTAATCTGAAACAGTCCAACTGTGCAGAAGCACACCTACAGGAATGGGCCATCTCCTCCGAAAATTAGGAGACTCCTCAAAATGAAAAACCCTATAGTATCGGTGCTTCCATGTATCACCAACCTTCATATAAAGGAGCAGTGATGCTTTACTTTCTTTGATGGCTTTTACAACACCTCAATTTACTGCATCTAGTCTGGGATAGGTTATGGGTCACCAAGTTAGGTAGGACATGTATAAATGACTAATTCTAAAGAAGCACAACTCTTTCTAACCTTCTGATTCAGCTGTATGACCTGCTTGGCATTTTCGGGGAGTGGGTATCCATCTGTACAGTACGCTAGCTCATTATTTTAATTTCATTGTTTTTCTAAGATAGAGTCTTTCTATGTAGTTCAGGTTGGTTTGGTCCTTTCTGTGTAGCCAAGGCCAGTTTTGAGCTCCTGTCCCTCCTTTCCTACCTCTGCCACTACATGCAGGAATTATAGGCATGTGCCTAGAGTTTGGTACATAATAAAATAAAAATGAGTATGGGCTCATCTCAGTTGTTAATAAACTCTAAGTATCTAAAATATTGACTTGATTAAATACACTATTATACATATGATCAATGCCGACCGGTAAGAAAAGCTACTAAGCTTTTTTTCCATAGACACATTGAATATGCATTTCTGGTTTACCTTTTTTGTGTTGTATGCTTTAAGACATATTTGAAATATATAAGTGCTTTCTGTATATAAAATATGCACCCGCCCATCCGTAACACTTTCATTCCCCATTATCTTTCATAAGTGCAGGCATCTAAGTACACTTCTAAATATGTCATATCAAAGGTGACATCTTACCCTCTCGTTTGGTCACCGTATCTCCTCTTTAAGTTGTATAATCTAAGATATAATAGATGTCACGCTCTACAGGTTCTTCTTATAGGTTTTGATGGGCTTATTACATTTTTACTGTTCACCTTCTTATTGCTGTTTCTTGCTAAAGCCAATGTATGTATGTTATAAAGTGTTCAGGCGATACAGAAATAGCAAGCACTGGAGACAGTTTTTATCTCTGTGTCCTATTTTGTTACTCATTTTTGCTCATGGTATACCTGCCATAAAACATCTATCTACTTGCAGCTAAATCAATATTCAGGACTGCAGGTGACATGTGAGTGTTGCTCAGTGCTGTCCCTATATATGCTGCATGCATGAATGAACAGTAAAAAAATAGAACCAGAAGAGCTCTATTAAACTCAACAATGGGACATTGTACACTCTAGGAAACGATTTCCTCATTCCATTTAATATATCTTACAAAAGTTGGCATTCTTCTAAGACAGCAATGCCAATTCCAAACTAAACCAAGTCTTCAGTTACAGACATTACAGTTATGATAAAGATTTTTTTTTCAGAATAAATTCCTAGAGACTGAAATGCTAGTGATTTTTCACTGCAATTTCTAAATTGGCTTTCAAAAAAATAATGTGGCCATTATAGTGCTAACAACACTCAGTGGGACCCAATATCCCACCAGAGACTTAGAAGTTCTGTGGCAGGATTTTCCCTGTCCAATTACATTAAAATATTAGTGCAGCAGGAGGCCTGTGGTTGGACAGGGAGAAGGGAGGCAGAGCTAAGAGTTGGGGAGAGAAGGGGGCGGGGATCCCACCTGTGTCAGGTGAGGGAGGAGAAGTGAGGATGGACAGGAAGAAGATCCTGATTCCTCGTTGTCTTAAATAGCCACTGGTAGCTATGAATATCATATAGAGACAGAATAATTGGGGTAACTTGTCTAATCTAGTTGGGCAGCTTGTATCATTATCATTTGGCTCTGAAATTATTGGGTGGGCATCTTGTGAATTGAGAATTGTTGACATATAAATCTGTCTGATTAATTATGAGCTTCAAGACTTTTGTTTTACTGAGTTACTGGAATGTGGGACCACCAACCAGGGGAGGTATGGCTGAGAGGGTATGGGCGGCACTGAGGCAGCAAACCAGAGCTGGGAAGGCTGCGATCGGTCACTGCATTGGGGTTAGCCTTGGAAGCAAGGCTTCCTTCCTTCTTTTTTAGGTCTCCTGTCTTTCTCATGTGACTTTTTTTGTAGAACATGTGTACATACAGAAGACAGGAAACTTCACTCATGCCACTGACAATGCTGTCGGTATTTATTCATTTATGTACTAAGCTTGCTTCTTGGGTATACTTCCTTTAGAAAATCAGGGTGTTGTTAGAGCATCTTTCATTCATGTGCGGATACCCGGTAGATCCTACTTCAGAAATAGGAGAAAGTCATAGAAATACAAGTTGAATACTATAATCCAAACATTCAAGATCAGAACTACCTCAGAAATCCCAAACATTTTGGGTGCCAACATGATGTCACAAGCAAAGTATTCCTCTTGTAGTAGGTGGTAATAAAGAAAAAAAAGTAGGTGGACTAAAAGGACTTCTGAAGTAGGGGAAATCAGTTTTTCAAGGATATGGTCCCTGGTAATGATAACTATACTCCAGAAGATAACCCACACGGTAAGCATATGATGAGCACCGAGAAGAGTCAGTGGGATATAAAAAAAAAACAAACGAATCTGTGAAGTTGGAAAGGAGAGAGAAAGAGATAAGGGGATGAGTATGAAGTGAATATGAACAATTTATCCGATATGCATGGATGAACAGTGTGCAAACTGTTTGAAGTATTATACTAAAATACCCAGGCTATGGGTATACAGCATATGAAACATACAAACGTCATGCTCAGACTTAAGTCCCATCCCTAAGACCTTAATCTGTATATGTAAATACCACAATGTGTGTAAAAAAGTATAAATGTCATGAAATATTTCTGCACCCAAGCACTTTACATGAACGATGTTTCTTCTGTCCTATCACGTATCTAGGCAAGGTGAGTTATGGGGATCATTTGCCAAGGGCTTGTGAGGCAGAAGGGCCACGGTGGGGCATCAATTCATAATGGAAACAGTAGCCGAGGGTAGAAGGTAGACTGTAAACGGTGAGGCTCTATTGGGAGCTGAAGGAGGAGCTGTTAAGAGAATTGGTAGTGAGGAGTCTTGAGTTACCATGGTTTTCATTCATGCTTCCACTCATCCTTCCATCCATTAATTGGTTATGAAGAACTTCTTATGATCATACTCGATTCTAATTGCCAGAGACATATTAAAAATTAGATGTTCTGCTACCATGAAGATTACATCACACATTACATACACAAAGGAAAACAATGAAGATATAGTATTGTTGGCCTTAGGTGCTGTGAATTAAACATTGGACAGAGTAAGAATACAGAGTGATGGGCTGAGTAGCAAAGGCTTCATTTGAAAAGCCAAGAAGGAAGCGCTCTGTGTAGTACAGTGGGTCCTGGCAATGGCAGCAAGGAGGAGGAGCACACTGGTGGTTGGTGGTACAAAGATGGTTCTTCTTACAGTAGCTCACAGGTCCAGGTTGTCTGATGATGACAAGACTCTGATAGAAGCCATCCAGAAAAGGCCGTGGCAAACAAGTGAGTGTCCCAGAGATGGCCCACCATTTCACATGGCTGTGATGGATTTACACTAGAGAGACATGGCCCCAGAGACTCCGTCCCAGGATTGCTTCTCCCTGCTGATACGCCTTTCCTGTCACTATTATATAGCCTAACGATTCCTGGACATCGGCCCACCCTAGTGGTCAAATTTCCTGCAGGTCAGCATGAAGATGAAGTTTCATGAGTTAATGTTGTCTATATATATTAATGACTTTACACAATTCCTGATTTGATTCAAATAATTTTCAGAATAAAATTTAAGGAGATGATTTTAGTTGTTTTGCTACAAAAATGTAATAAAGTTAGGATCAAGAACACCATGTGGCCCCTCATAGAATAGTAAGTAAAGGCTGCATAATAAGGAATACAAGGAGCTTTCATAAATTACAAGAAGAGAAATAGGCTTGAGACAGATTTGTGATCAAGGAAAAACTTTCATTCTAGATCAGGTCCAAGGATGAGGCCACAGGTGTGCACTATGATAAAGCAAGGCCATGTGAAACTGTTGCTTTGAACTTAGAACAAGCTTATAGAATGGAACACTGATTTGAACCTACTATCAACATCCTTCTGTAACCCCCTTTTGGTATAACATTTTACCTAGGAGATAATTTTATAAAGAACTTTTGTCTATGAAGATATAAAAAAGCAGAGAGAATAAATGAAGTATATCTACTGGGGCTTTGCTCCATCCACCAAATATATATATGTCTGCCTGCCTTCCTTCCTTCCTTCCTTCCTTCCTTCCTTCCTTCCTTCCTTCCT